CCATGCCCCATGTCATGCTCCTACCCCATGCACCATGTCATGCTCCTACCCCATGCACCATGTCATGCTCCTACCCCATGCACCATGTCATGCTCCTACCCCATGCACCATGTCATGCTCCTACCCCATGCACCATGTCATGCTCCTACCCCATGCACCATGTCATGCTCCTACTCCATGCACCATGTCATGCTCCTACCCCATGCACCATGTCATGCTCCTACCCCATGCACCATGTCATGCTCCTACCCCATGCCCCATGCCTCATGCCCGTGCCCCACAGGACGTGCCTACAGGTGAGATGCCGCGCGGTGTGCTGCTGCCGGTGGATCACTCACTGGTGCAGCGCAACATGTGTGCACTGCATGCACACCATGCCCCTTTCCGCATGGACCATGCATTGTGTGTGTGGCATGTGCCTTGCCCTGTGCACCACACCACGCTCCATATGACCCGCAGGACGTGCCAACGGGTGAGATGCCGCGCGGTGTGCTGCTGGCAGTGGACCGCTCATTGGTGCAGCATGATGCTTGTAGTACCTTTACTCCATGAAGCTTGCCCCACATGCCCCATGGCCCATTGCCCCATGCCCCATGCCCATTGCCCCATGCCCATTGCCCCATGCATGTTGCCCCATGCCCATTGGCCCATGCCCATTTCCCCGTGCCCATTGGCCCGTGCCCATTCCCATTGCCCCGTGCCCGTTGCCCGTTGCCCCATGCTTATTGCCCCATGCCCATTGCCCCATGCCCATTGCCCCATGCCCATTGCCCCGTGCCCGTTGCCCCGCGCTCGTTGCCCCATGCCCGTTGCCCCATGCCCGTTGCCTTTTACACATTGCCCCGTGCCCATTGCCCCATGCCCGTTGCCTTTTACACATTGCCCCATGCCCATTGCCCCATGCCCGTTGCCTTTTACACATTGACCCGTGCCCATTGGCCCATGCCCATTGCCCCGTGCCCATTGCCCCATGCTCGTTGCCTTTTACACATTGCCCCGTGCCCATTGCCCCATGCCTGTTGCCTTTTACACATTGCCCCGTGCCCATTGCCCCATGCCCGTTGCCTTTTACACATTGCCCCGTGCCCATTGCCCCATGCCCGTTGCCTTTTACACATTGCCCCGTGCCCATTGCCCCATGCCCGTTGCCTTTTACACATTGCCCCGTGCCCATTGCCCCATGCCCGTTGCCTTTTACACATTGCCCCGTGCCCATTGCCCTATGTTCCCTAGGATGTGCCAACAGGTGGGATGGCGCGACAGTGTGCTGTTGGTGCAGCGCATGATGTGTTCACTGCTTGCACACCATGAATTATGCTGCATGCATCAGGCACTGTGTACCATGTGCCTTGCCCCATGCCCTACACCACACCCCATGCGCCCTGCAGGACGTGCCAACGGGTGAGATGTCATGCGGTGTGCTGCTGGCGGTGGACCACTCATTAGTGCAGCATGATGTGTGCGCTGCCCATTGCCCACTGCCCTGTGCACCACACCACACCCCATGTGCCCTGCAGGATGTGCCAACGGGTGAGATGTCACGCGGTGTGCTGCTGGCGGTGCACCGCTCATTGGTGCAGCATTATGTGTGCACTGCCCGGTGCATACCATGTGCCTTGTCGCATGCCCCCATAACCCCCACACTCACCACTCCCAGGACGCGCCAATGGGTGAGATGCTGCACAGTGTGCTACTAGCGGTGGACTGCTGGCTGGTGCAGCGCATTTCCCCAGCACATGCATCACCATGGCCAGCATCTGCAACATCTTCTAGGCGTCTGATAAAGCCAAGTGAGAGTGAGATGGATGGTAGGGGGGTAAGTGAATGTGGGGAGGAGTCTAAGCTAGATGGGTGGTGGCTAGGCGACTGAGTGAGTGTGCAGACAACAGCAAGTGATATGGCTGCTGGCGTAGGGTGTATGGGGACAAGGCCATGTGCATGTGGGGACAATGCTCCCTCATCCTCGTCCCTCTAGCTGGCCACTTCCGTCCTCCCCTCGCCACCCCTCCCCTCACCACCCTTTCCCTGGCCCATTCATGCTTCCTCATGCCTCCCTCACCCTCCTCTTCCCGTTTCCCCTCTCCGTTGCCTTTTCCCCAAAATCCACCCATCCTGCACGGCGTGGGCATCCGCAGTGGGCACCACTGTGCGCAGCCCATTCACCAGCAGCTAGGCATCAATGCGAGTGCACGGGCGAGCGCGTACGTGTACAACACAAAGGAGGAGATAGACATGTTCATCGTCTCGCCGGGCTCAAGGAAACCATTGACTTCTTTGTCAAATTTTCGCAATTCAAATACTCAAGAGATTCTCAAAATGACCCGTGTCTTCCACCCTGCAAGTTCCTATGGTTTGAGAAATAAGGGAGGGAAGGGGAGATGGATGGGGAGTAGAGGAGTGAGTAGGGAGCAAACGATGAAAGTTGGGGCAAGAGTGGTGTGACGGCACGTAAAAGCATCAAATCACCAGTGCTTGCTTCATGCACCTGCCCTGGTAATGCAGGTTGGCAGGAAGGCACTCCTCTCCTCTCACCAACTCCTGCAGACCTCACCACTGCCATCTCTGAGAGGCTGTAGCCCTCACTCACACAGGTACGTGCCAGAGTTGAGGCAAATTCTGGGGCAAATTCCTCAGATCAGTGACATGTTCCCGTGCCTCCAGAGGTTTTCCAGTTGTACCGTATGCTGGTGGTGAGTTGCAAGCATGGCATGTGAACAGCAATTTTGTCAATGCTGACCAAATTGGGTCTGGTGCTCCTTGGGCCGTATCCATGCCCAACCCAACCCATCCTCCTGCATACATTGCCGTAGTTCTGAATAACGTACTCAAACAGTGTGTGTTGCTAGAAAGGCATGCTCTGCCTTGCATGCATACGGTACCGTAACAGCGTTGCCCTGCTCCGATGTGGTTGTGCTGAAACATGAGAGATAGGTAACGTAACGTGTATACTACCATCATCAGGCAATAACAGACACACAACACACACAAACCAACCCACCCAACCCAAAAACCACAACATACTACCGTACTAAACAACCATCACATCATACCCCAAAAAGAAGGCACACTGTGAACAAACTCTGCCTCATTTCCCCCCAGCTGCTGCCCACTCCCCGCCCTGCTTCAGCTCAGTCGCACTTCTCGCGGCACTTCTTATCCTTCCTGTCGCACTTGCGGCTGTTGTGATGATTGTCCTCATAGCACTCATCCAGCTTCTCATCACACTTCTCGGTGCACTCCTGCTGGCAATCATTGAACGCATCATTCGCGTCCCACTCGCAATCGCCGCGCTTCTCTGTGCATTTCTGCTCCTGCCGCCAGTCCCACGCGCGACCAATGCAGTCGGTTTCCTTGTCCTGGCACCGCTGCAGCTTTGTATTGTACTTGTCAGAGCATGTAGTGGAGCTGTAGAGCACCCGCCTCCTGACTATAGCGGGGGATGCAACGCTCGCGAATGGAGCTCGTGCACCTGCAGGGGAATTAGGTAAACTTATTTTTCATTACGGGTTTATAAAGGTACACCATCGCTGATCTGTTAATTCTTTGAACTTTCTGGGTAATTGGGAAAGTTGGCCGTACCTTGAGCAGAAGGGAAGCTGGAGATGGTGAGGAGAGCGGCGAGCAGGAAGAGGAGGGAAGCAACGAAAAACTTTCCGAATGCCATGGTAACGTCAGTTTCCTCTTAGTCGAAAGGAATGTTACGGATGTGAGCTGCAGAACCCTAAAGTAGGCGAGTAGAAGGTGGATAAGGAAGTGACTGGAATCTGGAATACTCGAATCCCTGGCTGCGAATGGCCAACAATCCGAGCGTCTTTCGTTTAAATATACAGCAACGCGACTGGAGCCGTCGGGGACAGTACAGCATTCCAGTACCAATTGGCCTCATCCATTGCGTCTTTCGGAGCACCAATGGCACCGAGCCGCCACCAAGAAACATCGTGTAAGCACCAGCGGCTCGGCCCATCAAGCTATCATCACGAAAGATCCTGGGAGCTCCAGCCACTTTGGACCTCCACCCGTTTGGCACTTGGAGGCATGAGGCCAACCCACTCGGCCGAGCTCGCCGGGTGTGGCGTCGCTGCTTCAGCAAAAAGTTTCGGGGAAACTAGAAAAACAGGGATTCAAGAATTCTGCTTAGGTCAAAGCATCATCATCGCCAGATGGCGTCCGCCCACGTTCTTATTGAAATTGCTTCTTGCTGAATTGGAGAAGAAAGCACCATCAGCAGTTTCTGAGCGCAGGAGAGGGATCGAGAAGAAACCCGTATTCCCTGCTGAGGTGGTGAAACTGCTTTGACCGGACTGGAAATTCCTGAACTCCTCGTTGGCAACTCCGTACTCCTCGTTGGCAACGCTGTATCGCTGGCAACTCTGTACTTGTTGGCAACTCTCTTGTCCTCGGCAACTCTGTACTCCTTGTTGGCTGCGGCGATAAAAAACTTGATTCCGAAGCTGATATGTTTTTGTAGACGACGGTCCATATTTGTCCCTCGTGGGTTCACAAAATAATATTTTGAACCGAGTGTAACCCTGTTTGGCGTAAAGGGGGAGCTGGGGGGAAATGATACACGGAAGTGGCGTGGGGGGGAAAATGGAGGGGAATGTTTCGAGTGCGTGTTGCGGCACTGGGTTGGCAGGTTTTTTCCCCTGCTCTTCCTTACCCCCGCCCCCCTTTTTCGGCAGCGCGCCGTTGTATTTGTCTTTCGCACGCTGAGATTGGTTTCGCACTTTTCGCCCAGCCCTTTTGTTTTCGCCAACATCTGTCAGCAGGTCCACCAGCACAAATACGTACCCAGGTTGTTCAGCCACACATAGTTCCTAGCCAGTGACTGTTATAGCTAAGAAAAGCTAAGACTCCACCTCCATTACTCCGCCCATCCTCGCCCTTTCGCCTTCCCCTCTTCCACCATCCCTTTCTCCCTCTATTAATCCGTTCCGTCCGATCCGTCGCCCTAGCTTTCCGCTAGCCTGAGTTCTCGTTTCCACTCCACGTCGCGGGCCATGCCCATTCTAGCGCTTATGCCCATCGTCGCCCTGGTTTCACTTCCCCATCGCCCACCGCATAGAAATTGCTTCTATTCCTAGCCCGCCGTCCTCTCTGTCCATCCCATCGCATTTCGCTTTTCGTTTTTTCCCCTTTTTTAAAAAGGATTCGTCGCCATCGCTTGCAACCCGTCGCGTACGCGCAGTCCCGTCCAAAGCCCACGCTCACTCCCTTCCATCGCCCACGATCTCTGCCCTCGAACGAGCACGCTCCCTCCCCTCCCGTCGCCTTCGCGCACTCCCCTCTCGTCGCACACGCTCACTCCCCTCCGTCGCCCACGCTCACTGCCTTCCCGTCGCCCACGATCACTCCCCTCCGTCGCCCATGCTCAATCCCTTCCGTCGCCCACGCGCACTCCGCTCGAACGAGCACGCTCACTCCCCTTCCGTCGCCCACGCTCACTCCCCTCCGTCGCACACGCTCGCCCACGCATCCCCATCCCGTCGCACCATTCCTTCGTTTCCCCCATCCGCGCTACCTCACATGTCTCTGTTCCAACCGTCCTCCTTCCTCATTCCCTCCTTCCCTCCCTCCATCCCTCCCTGACTCCTCGCCACCATCCGCCCTGCCAACCTACCTCCCTTCCTCATTTCCTCCGGTTCTCCCTACCTTCCTCCCGTTCTTCCTTCTCATCTCCCCTGTTCTCCCATCTCGTCTCCCCACGCTCTCCTCTCTCAGCTTCCCCCGTGCTTCCTTCTCATCTCCTCTCTTTCTCCCGTCTCATCCCCTCACGTGCTCCCTAACTCATTTCCTCTCTTGCTCCTTCTCATCTCCTCATGCTCTCTCGTCTCATCTCCTCACGCTCTCCCTCCCTTCTCATCTCCTCATGCTCTCCTTCTCATCTCCTCATGCCCTCCTTCTCATCTCCTCATGCTCTCCCTTCTCATCTCCTCATGCTCTCCCTTCTCATCTCCTCATGCCCTCCTTCTCATCTCCTCATGCTCTCCCTTCTCATCTCCTCATGCTCTCCCTTCTCATCTCCTCATGCTCTCCCTTCTCATCTCCTCATGCTCTCCCTTCTCATCTCCTCATTCTCTCCTTCTCATCTCCTCATGCTCTCCCTTCTCATCTCCTCACGCTCTCCCTTCTCATCTCCTCACGCTCTCCCTTCTCATCTCCTCATGCTCTCCCTTCTCATCTCCTCACGCTCTCCCTTCTCATCTCCTCACGCTCTCCCTTCTCATCTCCTCACGCTCTCCCGTCTCATGGCATGAGATGGTACGGACAAACAAAATGTGCCGTGAGGAGAGAGAGGTGGAAAGGGTGGATGGGGTGGGATGGAGGTATAAACGAGGCCAGGCCAGAGTCACTTGCACGTTTCACCTCACCTCACCTCACCTCACACCCCATGTGTTTCCCCCCTTGTGCTTCACAGGGTTGTGTTCCGTGAAGCAATAGACAGCAGGGCATGAGTCGAGTCTCACTGTGTGCTTTGCCTCTACCTCTGCGCCATGCGCCCCACAGGCACAGGGTGGCGATCCACGAGGCGATGCAGCAGCAGGCCATGCGTCTCACTGTGTGCTTCGCCTCTGCCTGTGCGCCATGCGTCCCACAGGAGTGGCGATCCACGAGGCGATGCAGCAGCAGGCCATCAGCATCGCCAAGGCGGGTATCACCACCCACCTCCCCAGCCTGCCCTCGGGGTGATACTTCTCATATTATGCCTCGGAATGATCGATGCGTACATCACATCCCTGTCTCCCTCCTCTCCGCCGTCCCTTCTTATCCACCTCACAGACAGCACAAGAGAACATGCATCTGCAGAGCTCAAGAGAACATGCACCTGCAGAGCTCAAGAGAACATGCACCTGCAGAGCTCAAGAGAACATGCACCTGCATGCACCATTCTGCCGCGTCTCGACCTCATCTTTGCCGTCAAGGATCTGCGCAACTTCGACCGCGTGATGAAAAAAGGGAGTTTGTGCGACGTCTCAAAATGAAAACTCCCTTATATCAAGGACACGCACGACTTCAACCACGACCTCGTGCGTTGCGTCTGCCCATCTACCTTCACTAACGCATGTGTCGAAATGCTGCTCGCCCAGTCAACACGACCGAGGCGTCGACCTCATCTGTGTTGTCAGGGGCACGTGCGACTTCAACTGCATTCTATTCCAATCCCCATTTCTGCCCTTTTTTTTTCCCACAGAATATCGCGCGACATGTGGTGAACAGGCTTACTTGATCTCAAGCCTATCCATGTGCTCCCCCCTGTCTCTGCCTCTTCTCCCCCGCTGCAAATTGCGCGGCACGGAGTGAACGTGCATGTGAAGGCGGATGCAGTGGTGGGATAGGGCGGGGATGGCATGGGGGGATGGGGCGGCATGGGGGATGGGCCTGCGGGGGCGGGGGCGTGGGATACACGGGGGGAAGGATGGGGAGCAGGAGAACTGGCTCGAGAGGTGAGGAGTGGGCGGAGGTGAGGAGTGGGCGGAGGTGAGGTGTGGGCGGAGGTGAGGAGTGGGCGGAGGTGAGGTGTGGGCGGAGGTGAGGAGTGGGCGGAGGTGAGGTGTGGGCGGAGGTGAGGTGTGGGCGGAGGTGAGGTGTGGGCGGAGGTGAGGAGTGGGCGGAGGTGAGGTGTGGGCGGAGGTGAGGTGTGGGCGGAGGTGAGGTGTGGGCGGAGGTGAGGTGTGGGCGGAGGTGGTGAGGTGTGGGGGATGGGCGTGGGAAGGGTAAAGGGTGCTGCAGGGGAAGCGGTCCTGAGAGGGATGAATGAGTATGCCGGTTTTCCCATTGTTGTGAAAGTTGGTGTGGACTTTTTTCTGGTCACTATGCCGGGTGCACAGACAGAGTCTGCTCGCCTCAAGAGGATGTGGCATAGCCCCTCGTTCCCCGTCGGTTCCCACTCTAACCCCACCCCACCCCCACCGCCTCCCCCCCCTCCCCATTAGGTACATTGAGTTTGCTTGCACGTGCTGCTCGCCGCGGCTGCCAGAATCGGCAGCAATGCCACTGCAGAATAACCACGTGCAGATCCGCCAGGTGTGCTGCTTGCCATTGTGTTGTGGTGGGACATGTTGCATTGCATTGCATTACAGCACAGCACAGCACAGCAATGCCGTAAAACCGCTATTTGCACATCCGCCGTTGAGCTACTTGCTGTTGTGCCATGATGGTTCTTGTTTCAGGACGACACGTTGAAGCGCGCCACAGCACACACCACGTCGCACCGCACTGCACCGCACCATTCCGCATCCCACCTCATCGTGCTGCATCACATGCTGTGGCATCATCCCCCCTCAACGCCCCCTCGCCTGTCAGAACATGCTGCAGAGAGCAACGGAGATGGGGGGGGCAATAGTGCTGCCAATCACGGTTCGCCAGCTGGAGGCTATTGTGAGGCTCTCAGAGTCGTGTGCATGCAGCTGTGAATGACATGGCATTCAGCTGTGAGTGACTTGGCATGCAGTTGTAAGTGCCGTGACATGCAGCTGTGAGTGACATGGCATGCAGCTGTGAGCGACGTGGCATGCAGCTGTGAGCGACGTGGCATGCAGCTGTGAGCGACGTGGCATGCAGCTGTATGTGGCAATGAAATCGCATGCAGCTGTGTGATGGATGTAGAAACCGTTCTGACTAGATTAGAAACCGTTCTGACTGGATTAGAAACCGTTCTGACTGGATTAGAAACCGTTCTGACTGGATTAGAAACCGTTCTGACTGGATTAGAAACCGTTCTGACTGGATCATGGACCCATGCTGTTGAGCCCTCATTGCCTCATTGCCTCATCGCCTCATTGCCTGATTCGCTTTGCATCAGGAGGCTGCGTGTCGTTCTACTGGATGTGTGATCTCCAGATTGCTGCCCATTCAATGTCCGCCAGGCAGGTGCTGTGTGCAACGCTCATCCCAATCCTTCAGCACATGTATAACCTCGAATGTGGCATGTGCATGTTGTATGGCGTGTGGCATGTGGCGTATGGCGTTTGGCACGGCATGTGGAATGGGGCGTGGCATGTATCGTCACATGCTGCGTGCATCAGGTGCGGCGAGTGCTGCTCATCATGGTGGCACGGGGGGAGGTGGAGAAACCGCGACTGAGGAGGGTCATATACTGCAAGGTCTGACCGCCGCTCTCACTGCTGCACTCACTTGCATTGGCAATCTAAAAACAATGCAAAACCACTGGCTCTACGCTTAAGTTGTTTTTAGTTCAACCTTGTAGCTTCAGCTGTGTTGGCCAAGTAGCAAATGGGCAAATGGGGAGTAAGGTGTTAGCAGCTGACAAAGGTTGTTTATTTATGATTACAAACAAGAATCTCTCTAAACAAGTCGGTGTAGTTTAGTGGTTAGAATCCCACGTTGTGGCCGTGGAGACCTGGGCTCGAATCCCAGCACCGACAACTTTTATTCGTACTGGTTGACGTTTGCAGCTGCTGTTTGAGTGTATTAGAACTCTCCCTCCTCTTCTGTTGTTGCGCCTAATTTGTTTACCAACTTGAATCAAATTTCTATTTTCACCATTCTTACCATACTTTATTGATGTATTTTGGTTTTGCCAAATGCCTAGTGTAGCTGACACTTTCAGCACACCCAGTACCAGTAAGTTTGATACGGGATGGAACACTAACAGAAACGGATTTCAAGGGGCAAGGTAGGCACGGTAGCTGATTAAGCTTCTAGCGCGGACCACCCTTCTGCTGTAGAATTTTAAGGCCAACTCTGGGAAAATATGTTATCAAAAACAACAAGAGGCGACGAAATCGTCTTAGGGTTGCGAAGCATTTTACGTAACGATATGTACACAATTTTTTACATTTTACATAACGACATGTACCGTACACAATTTTCTACAAGTGAGAATACTTTTATAAAAACCTGTGGTAATTGACATTTATAGCAACGACTCGAAAAACAGCTTCACCATAATTCGAACCTACGACCTTCGTACCCAACGCCTTTCTCCTACCGACTGCACTAGCGCTACTGCAAAGAGAAGCAACATAATAATCTAGATTACATAAAGTAACGACGAATCTGACACTTTGTTAGGGTTGGCTCTTCCTTTCTTTCTCCCTCCCTTCCGCTCGCTGGTTTAGCTCCCCGCTACTCACGCCCCACCTACCCGTTCCTACTAAGGTGAGAACAACTCTACCTTACCGTTTCAAGTAGAATTAAGTTACCTGATTTCTAGCGAGACTAGCATGCGTTAATCTCGTACATAGTTGTTTACTCTTACCCTGGCCGCGTTTTAAAAAGATAGTTTGATTAAGCCTATGTTCTAGGTTCTAGGTATTCGTTTTCTCTTTCTCTTTTCTTCTCGCCAGTGGAGCTTGTTCTTTTGCCTCACGCTACTTACGGTCCACCTACCACTCCAAGGTCAGAAAGTTTAAGATGTCATTTAGAGTTGTTACCTCATGGTAAGATGTAAGCTCTTATTGTCGTCATTTACTTCCTATTCTTAGTTAGCCCTCCCTTTCCTACTTCCTCTCGTTCTGCTGACGGGCTACGGGACTTCCGCTAGGTAAGCTCCTAACTTGCAACTTAAACGCGTTCGATACCTGTTAGGTCGACTTAATTCTAACACAGGACGGCTTAGATCTAAACTAGGTCGGCTTAGATCTTGTTTTTACACATGTTTTTTTTCGAAATCGTAGAAATCGTAATTTATTGAACACTCTCTCTATCTCTCGTTCGTTCTCGCTCGTTCTCTCTCTCGTTCTCTCTCTCTCGTCCTCGTTCTCTCGTTCTCTCTCTCTCGTTCTCGTTTTCTCTCGTTCTCTCCCTCTCTCTCGTTCTCGCTCTCTGTATTCGTTATATTCTCTTCTTTCGTTTACTGTCTCGGTATTTTGTTCCTCTATTCCCGTTCCTTATTTTCGTTTTATGCCTCGTTAGATTCTTCTCCATGCTCTTTGTCAAGTCTAACCATTCAATGCTCACGGCGTTTTTCTTAGCCCTTGTATTGATTCATTTGTTTCTTCGTTATTCCTGTTTCTCTTCATTTCATCACACCTTATGCCTTTTTTCTGTTTTGTTTGTTGTACCGGCTATTCATTTCCGTTCCTCCTTTCCACTTCCTAAACCCGTTTGTCAGGGGCCTTTCCGGTCAGGAACGCGATTTCAATCCAGAAAATGCGTATTGGTCACTAGGATTTATCGTATTGTCCTTTTAACATTGATTTACTTGTTATGTAGTTCGCGTCGCGTGTATCTCGTGTTTTTTGGCTGGGTTTGCCGGAGCTCGTGTTTTTTATTGTGTGAATGTGTTTGTTCGTGTGAGTGCATTCATCTCATCTGTCATTGCAATATCAATGCATGTCTGTCAATTTTAAAAAGGGGGTTCATTTCTATCATTTCTCATTGGTTCATTGGCGCACTCAGTGACTCGTGTGTTTGCCACTTCGAACTGGATTTGATAGAGTGAACCTCTTTTTTAGAGTTAACAGATTGTATTTTTTCATGTGCTAGTTGATTATTCAAAGATTTTGCTATTGACCTCCCCCCCATGCTAGGCAGGGGATGGCGATAGCTTAGTTTTTGGGTTGTTAACTGTCACGCATTTTATCATGTGCATGTGCATTATTCATCACATAACACATGCATTATATACATCATTCTATGCATTATGCATTGTATAGCATCATTTATGCATTACGCATGCACCTCTTCATCATTACACAACATCATCTAACAGTAACATATAATGCAAACAGTACAGCAAATCTCCACTAAACAATTGCAAAATATTCATATGGAATAATGCACTATGAACAGTACCGTATTCAAAACTGCTCAACATGCATACAGTATGGGAAGGGTAGTACTGTAGTTGACAAATTTTATTTTCATGATTTTTTTAAAAAATATTAACATGAAAATAAAATTTGGCAAAATCGATCGTAAAGGGTTGCTTCGCAACCCAAAAAACGGCAAGACGGATGTCTGAACCCGGAATCGAACCGGAGACCTCCAGTGTGTGAGACTGGCGTGATAACCGACTACACCATCCAGACATGTATATTGGTATTTTAAAAAAAACTCTTATAATATTATTAAAAAAACATTTTTTGCCACCAATGACGTGGCGCCAAATCTGTTCCCTTGGGAATGCTGCTGATGTGGTGGAGAACAGCACAAGCCACGCCCCAGCACTGGCCCCTTTCACATGCCTCGTTTCTCTTGCCCATCCCTCACCGTTTCAAAGCAATCAACCTCGCTGCTTGTGCACAGATTTCTGTTCTTCCTCCTTGCTTCCTCGCTGATTCCAGACCAGTGCACTGGTCGCCGCCATCCGCCTCTGCTTGCTGGCTGCCGCTGCGCCAACGGTTCACACGCCCTGCCTGCTCGTCCGCTCGCTGCGCGCTGACGTGGAATGGCTTCCATGGCTGCCACGGCGGTGGCTGATTGCCGCACATTGCGGTGTATAGGTAGGTTACGATGACGCGCCGCCGCATGTCATGTACTCGCGCCGCGTTCTATGTAGCATCGCAGCCGCATTGGCACCTGCAATTGTCGCTCGCAATAATCGCTCCGCTGAGATCCACGTCGCTTCGTGGCTTCACGCGGGTTCATTCGTTCGCCATTTCCGCCCATCTCGCCATGCCCCCGACTCTTTATCTCATTCCGCGAATTCCGCGTACTTCGCCATCCCCGTTCGTACATTGTCGCCCAGGCTCAACTCCCTCGTCGCAATGCCGTGCGACGCCCGTGGCCTCGCTGCCTGCTCGTCGCATCGCTTCGCGCGCGCACTGCTCGCTCGCTAGCGTCGCACACATCGCCTCGTGGCAACGCTGCGACTCGCGCCGAGCGACTCATCTACGGTAAGCCGCAGACGCTGCCACTCTTCAACGTAACCTTCGAACTACGAGAGGCGAAAGGGATGAACTGGACGGAAGCAGCAAAGACGGCAATGCTTTGTGAAAAGGTACCGGCTGGCGGGTTTTTAGCTTCTCGCGGATTCGAAACGAGTTTCTCGAATCTGTATTCTCTCATGGGCCTGCACCCCGCTCCCCAACGCGTCACCCTCCCAACCACACACTCTCTTTCCCTCCTATGCACCCCCACCCTCTCACCTTTCCCCTATCCTACCCACATGCATCTCCGGCGGGGCAGCGTTGCGCGGCCCGGGGCGGTGCGGGCGGCAGCGGACGAGGAGGTGGAGGAGGAGCTCATGATGATCGAGGAGAGCGCGGTGAGTGCAGCCCTGGGCGCGGTGAGGAGAGCGCGGTGAGTGGCGGGACCAGTGCACCCGTGCTTGCCAGGGGAGGGTGTGGCGCTTGGCGAGCTTGCAACACAAAGGCAGCACGGCAGGGTTTAAGACTTGCATAATAACTGGGCCTCCATTCTTCAGCAGGGTTTAGGCTTGTATCTGGCATCACCAACGCACAGGCAACGCTTGGCACTCCCCTCGCTCTCGCCTCCTTCCATCCACCACCCTCCCTCCCTCTCCCTCGTTCAACTCCTTCACTCTGCTGCTCACTCACCTCCCTTCACCGCCCTGGCACTCCTCGTATTCCCAACCCTGCCACACTACCATGATTCACTGCGGTGCAACGCGGTGCAGATGGAGCGCATGGAGAAGACGTTGGACAGCGTGAGGGGCAACTTCAACACGGTCAGAACGGGGCGAGCCAGCCCCTCCCTGCTGGACCGCATCGAGGTGAGCCCTGCTGGACCGCATCGAGGTGAGCCCTGCTGGACCGCATCGAGGTGAGCCCTGCTGGACCGCATCGAGGTGAGCCCTGCTGGACCGCATCGAGGTGAGCCCTGCTGGACCGCATCGAGGTGAGCCCTGCTGGACCGCATCGAGGTGAGCCCTGCTGGACCGCATCGAGGTGAGCCCTGCTGGACCGCATCGAGGTGAGCCCTGCTGGACCGCATCGAGGTGAGCCCCTCCCGCTCCTTACGCCTTCCTACCTCTCACTCCCACTCTTGGTCTCGTTCTCCTCTTCCCTGTGCTGTGCCTCTTTGCACCTACAATCTGGCTTCTGCCTTCAGTTGCTTCTGTGCCTTGCTGGCTGCTCTATGTGCCACGTGTACCCCTCCCATCGCCACGTGTGTCCCTCCCATGGCCTGCGGTACCCCCAGGTGGAGTATTACGGCGCGAGTGTGATTCTAAAGAGCATCGCTCAGATCGCTGCCCCTGACGGCTCCATGCTGCTCGTCACGCCCTTTGACAAATCCAGGTGCCATTTCTTCAAACCCCTGCTTTTGAGTCGACTCAAAAGCAAATCCAGGTGCCATTTCTTCAAACCCCTGCTTTTGAGTCGACTCAAAAGCAAATCCAGGTGCCATTTCTTCAAACCCCTGCTTTTGAGTCGACTCAAAAGCAAATCCAGGTGCCATTTCTTCAAACCCCTCCTCCTCCACCCTCCCCTCTCCAACCCCCCACTTCTCACTTTGCCACAATTTCTGCAGCCGTCCTAAGCACTTCAGCACACTCCCCCACACATTTCCCCCACATCCCCCCACTCCCTCCCCTTTCTACCCAGCATCCCGTCCATAGAGAAGGCGATTATGAAGTCAGACGTGGACCTCACACCCCCCGCACCTTCCCCACCTGCCTCGCATCCCTCCTCCCCTCCTCTAACTCCCCTCTCTCCCTCCCCTACCCCCCCCCCCTCCCATCCGCCCAGCATCCCGTCCATCGAGAAGGCGATCATGAAGTCAGACGTGGGCCTCACGCCCTCGTCTGACGGCAACGTCATCCGCCTCTCCATCCCGCAGCTCACCGCCGAGCGCCGCAAGGTACGAGCGTGCAAGGTGGTTGCTGTCAGCAGCTGAAAGGCTTGTCACGCCCTCCTCGGACGGCAACGTCATCCGCCTCTCCATCCCGCAGCTCACCGCCGAGCGCCGCAAGGTGCTGTGCTGTGCTGTGCTGTGCTTTGCTGCCTCCCAAGGGCCACATACGCACTACATACAGACTCTCTACACCCTGACATCCTCCGTTATATGTTCAGTAAAAATCTGAGACAGTGGGAATGAGGTAGCGTAATAATAGGCAGTAGCATAGACAACCGAAACGTGGCTGAGGGAGGGCAGTGGTGGGGGGATGGTGAGAAGGAGCAGGAGATGAGAGGTGGTTGCTGTTGCCAGCCGATGGACTTGTGATGCCATGCCTCTGCTTCTATGCTCGCTCACCCTGAGATACCTCCCAGCCTCCTCCCATCCTCTCTCCGACCACCTCTCAAGATTGGCTTCTCGAAATTACCGCTCCAAAATTCCTCTTCTCTCCCTTCCGCCTTGCCATGGCATGGAGTGGCATAGCATTGCACATGCATGTCGTGGCTTGATACTTGGACGGCATGTGCATGGGCATGGCATGTGTGGTGCACGGGTGGGCGTGGCATGGGCTTGTGCACGGCCGGCCATGGCATGGCATGGCATGGGCATGTCATGGGAATGTGTTTGGGTGGGCATGGCGGCAACAGGAGCTGCTGAAGACGGTGTCAAAGCTGTCTGAGGATGGCAAGGTGAGCCATGAAAGGGATGCAGGCCAAGTGTGCTTTCATGAATCCATACATCCACGACTCACACCCATGCCCACACCACACCCAAAAGCAAACAGCTTTGCTGAAGCATGACACAAGGCTCTCTCACGAATGCCCTTCACCACCCCCGCTGCACCTGCCACCTGCACCCTGGGCACCCTGCCCCACCCACTCGCCCCCTCACCCCGCTGGCCCCTCTGCCCCACCTGCTCCTCTGCCCCGCCTGCTCCTCTGTCCCCACCTGCTCCTCTGCCCCACCTGCTCCTCTGTCCCCACCTGCTCCTCTGCCCCACCTGCTCCTCTGCCCCACCTGCTCCTCTGTCCCCACCTGCTCCTCTGTCCCCACCTGCTCCTCTGTCCCCACCTGTGATCGTGGCCCCACCTGTGATCGTGGCCCCACCTGTGATCGTGGCCCCACCTGTGATCGTGGCCCCACCTGTAATCGTGGCCCCCCTTTCCCCCCTCATACCGACGCATGGCCACCAGGTGGCACTGCGTAACGTGCGCCGGGACTCCATCAAGGCCTACGAGAAGCTGCAGAAGGTGCCGCCTGCCTGGACCACCGCATTTGGCATCGCTCTTGACAATCAATTTTTTCTAGAGTCACCTGCCTGCTCCACCCCTCTCAACGCGCCTTCCTTTACACACACCGTGACTAAGATGCCTGCAGCCTGCCTGCGCTTCTGCTGCATGCGCTGCATGCCACATGTACCGCCCTGCCCTAAACCCTAAACCATCTTGCACGAGCCGTTTACTACCGCATGCTATCTGCAAAGGGCAGCTTCTTGTTTTCCGTGTCTCTTATCATCTCTTTTTATCACATGCCACGTGTCATGCCCCCATTGGTGCATGGCAGGAGAAGAAGATCTCAGAGGATGCTCTCAAGGACCTTTCAAACGACATCCAGGTGACGTGGCATGCTAGGATTGGCCAGCATTACCCGCCATGCAGGCACCCACACAGCTTCCTCACAACCTCTGCTGACTCAACCCTTCCTGCTCCTAGCTGTCAGGCAACTCACATTCCTGACCCTCTGCTTCTGTCTACCCCACTCGCTTCGGACACCCCTCTCCCCCCCCCTTTCCCCCCTCCCTCTTTTCTGTCTTGCTACACCTTCCGCCCCCTTGCCCACGCGTGCGTGCGAGCAGAAGATGACGGATGACTATGTGAAGCAGATCGACACGGCCTTCAAGCAAAAGGAGAAGGTCCGTGCCACACCCACCCGCCCACACATCTGCAGTGCAGTGCAGGAGGCTCCGTACCTTGATGTTTGTTTTCCTTTCTTCAAGTTGATCTTTGGAGGTAGATCCTCCAAATGCCTGCTCCCACGCCACGTCAGGGATTGCACCGAACAACCGCACCTCTGCACCCCTTTCCATCCATCTCCGCCGTCCCTCCCCCTCAGGACCTGCTCACGGTGTGAGTGGCTGTGACATGACAAGCAACTGAGAGGCCTACACACAAACAAACACACGACTCAGCGCCAAACAGTCATGCCCCTGATTCCATCCGTGCTGCACCGCTGCTGCTCTGCACCTCTGCTGCCAAACGCCCATTCAGATGCACTTGCTGTGGGCAGTAGGACTAGCCTAGCCTTGATTCGTTTACCAGCTCCCAAGGCCGAATGGCGTGAACAGAGTCTTCTAGCATCTCCTCTTGTAACTCATGGGTGTCTCACAGGCATCCACCATGGTTTCAGATAACCGTCGCTGTTTATCAACCCTGTTTTGAATGATGCTGAACGGAAAGGGAGGAACCGCTTTCGTGGAAGATTGAACAAAAGTTGGGCCATGTTTTTGGCTATGGAGGCATTCCAGAAGCTCTTGCTACAATAATGCTTAGGGATTAGCCACAGCTTTACATTGGAAATGAAATGAACTGAGCAGATTTCAGAAATGGACATTAGATTAAAATCAATAAATCAGGCAGTAAAGAACACACTATCTACCAGTTGTTTGTTGAGGGGCAGTAACGGGGGCGTGGCAATGTGTGAGGGAGAAGAAGGTACATCGCCCCACCCTCTCCTCGTTCCCCGACACACACCGGTCCAGATGGAACGACCTTCCAGACAGCCACCGCTGCACCTCCCCCAGCTCCGCCTCCCCCCGCCACTTAGCTAAGAGCGGGTCATCCGGCAGCAAGAACGCATCCAGCTCCTCCAACTCCTTGCTCGCATCTGCCCCTCCTTGATCTACCCCATGCTCGCCCTCTTGCCCCTCCCCTTGCAGCGCCCCTTGCCCCACTTGCTGCAACCGCCTCCCTCCCATCCCACCCATCCCCCCCATTCCCCCCATCCTCCCCCCAACCCTTCCTCCATCAGCGCTCCGCTCACCGCCACCCTCCACAACCCCCTCCCCGCCCCGCTCCCCGCCCATCCCACCCCTGTCCCTGAGCTGCGCCAGCACGCCCTCCCCCGCACCCTCCACGTCCACCAGCAGCTGGCACGTGCTCAGGCCGCGGGATAGCAGCACTTGCAGGTCTGGTAGGCGCCCCGCTCCCACCTGGTTGCGGGGTGAAGGGTTGGGTTGGGAGGGGAGCAGTAGTGAGGGAAGAGTGTTCTTATGCTCTGCCCCCGTGCCCTCCAGATCCACGGCAGCTGGCACACGCGCAGCTCACACGTCAGCAGTGCTTGCAACTGCAGCAAGCTTGCACGTGTAAGGCGGGCATGGTTCCTCCCAGGTGTGCACATGCAATGCTCATGTAACGCTCATGTAATGCATATTGACACTCACTCGAATGAGGTCCACGTGCTTGGACGCCCCTGCAGCCCAGAGCACATGGTCCGCATCTACAGCAGCACCTCCCCTCCCCACCACCTCCTCCTTTGCTTTTATCCGCCTCACCGCCGCTTCAAACGCCGCCTTGTACTGTGCACCCAATTCCCTGCCTGCCACTGCTGACTGCTGCTGGGCGGCAGCGTCGGCAGTTTGGGCGGCAGTGGCAGTGGGTTGGGCGGGCGGTTTTGGCAGCATTAGGAGGCGCATGGAGGGCAGGGCGGAAAGCAGGTGGGCGTCCCAGAGGAGGTCGGCGGAGGGCGGTGTGGCAGGCAGGGACACAGCGATGCTGCACGGAGGGGAGGAGGGTAAGGGGGAGAGGGCGTGACAGCGGTGATGGGGATTGCGGGGGATCAAGGGAGTGAGGCAAAGGTGAGTGGGATCAGAAAACGACCTTCGGGCTGGACAGCCGGCATGAACAGAATGTTGGCTGCAGTGCAGTGCAATGCACTGCGGTGCAGTGCGTCAGTCCTGATCTATTAAGCCAAGCACGCACCTGTGGTTGAAAGCGTAGAGGTAAGTCAGGAAGGCAGACCAGCTGCCAGAGCGCCCTGTGCCAAATGCGCCAAACACCGTTGCCTTCCCCAGCCCATGCCGCACACACAGCACTGCTGGTGCAGGCGCCCGCCACCCCTCCCTCCTCACTGCCTCCCGCCACGCCACCTCTGCCGCCTCCTCCTCTGCTGCTGCTGCTGCTGTCTCCTCTTCCTTCCCGCCTTGCTCTTGCCCACTCGCAACCCTAAACCCTGGCCTCCCTCCCAGCCGCCCCAGCAGGTGCTGCCACAGGGAGGTTTGGCCTGGCCGGTTAGAGGCTAATGCTTGCTGTTCTCGTTCTTGTTCTTGCTCTTGTTGTTCTTGTTGTTCTTGTTCTTGTTGTTGTTGTTGTTGTTGAGGGGTGAGGAGAGCACGGCGAGCCGGTAGGGCTGTCAACGAGGCTAACGGGTTGGTTCGGCGCCGAACCTCGAGAGACAGCTGAGGTGAGGAAAGAAGGGAATGATGAGGCGGGGATATGCGAGATGGAGGAGGGAAAGCACGAGCGATGAGGAGGGATGGATGCATGTAAGTGTGTGAACCAACTCTCCACACAAGTCACCCCCACCCACCTCTGCATCATGGCCCCCACCATCTCTGCCTGCCCCATGACCCCCACCCACCTGAGCCACCTGCACCTCGCACCCCTCTCTGCCGCCCTCCACCGCAGCCATCACTGCCTGCCGCCCCGCCGCCAGCCGCTCCGGCACATGCCAGTCAAACTGCACCGCCCAGTCCGCCGCCCACGGGCCTGTCTGCTCGCAGAACGGGTTGGGCGGCGGCTCGTGCTGGCAGGGGCGGCAGTAGTCGCCCCCGCGGCGGTTGCGGAGGTTGGGGAGGGCGAGCATTTTGAAGAACTGGTGGTGTGACACGAGGCAGAAGGGGAAGTGCGCTCGCGTGACTGACACGTTGAGGCGCTGCAGCATGCGCGCGTACACCGTCTCTGCGTTCACTCGCCTGGGAGGGATATCCAAGTAGGGACGAGGGAACGGGAGTGTGGAGGGGAGAGGGAGTGAGCAGTTGAGTGGAAGAGGGTGGACGACCCACCATTGCAGAGGGTGATGGGCTGCTGTGAGCGCATGCAAGTGGGAATCATGGCGGCACAGAGAATGGCTTAACAGCAATGAGGAGAAAAGCCCAGCAGCCCTACTTGCCAGCTTCGCCACCGCCCTCGCTCACAGCTCCCAGCATGTGCAGCCGCGCGAACACCGCCCGGCCCGCCGCCCGCGGCACCACCGCCAGCCTGTCATTCACCCCACCGAAATCCAACCCGGGCGGCGCCGTCAAGCTCCGATACTCCAAGCCGCCCAGCGGCGCGGGCGGCGCCGCCCAGAAAGAGTCCGGGCGGGCCTTCATGAGCCACTTGTAGCGGCGGCTGTAGTGCCGTTCTCTCTCAGCGATGTCAGCGGCGCACATGGCTTCCATGCTGAACTGCTGTAGCAGCCCCTGTGGCCCGTTCTCCAGTCCCTTGAGCGCGTGTGTGGGGTACAGCGCCTCGTTCACGTTGAAGTCCGGAAACACTCGCACTGACACCAGCCTTGGGCCTCCCAATCCTCCTCCTCCCCCTCTCCCCGCCTCCCCTTGCTGCGTGACGTTTTCTTCCCTGGCTCCCCCGGCTCCCTGCGCCCCCTCCGCCCACCCCATCCCCCTGAGGGCGAGGAGCTTGGCGGAGTTCTCATCGAGGGGCGTCACCACAAACACGTCTGCCTGCCCGTACCCCTCAACCCCCACCAGATTCGCCGCTATGGATGGCCCGGTCAGCTCAAACGTTCGCAGCTGCCCGACAAGGCACAGCGCCATGGAGTCCTCCGGCCAGGGCAGCTCAAAATCTGCAGTAGGCGCTGCTGCTTCTGCTGCTGCTACTGTTGACAGCCCTGGTGTGGGGGTCTGGACGAGGTATTGTATGGGAAATGCAGGGGGGGTGAGAAAGGATGGATGGAGAGGGGAGAGGTGGATGGGGTGGTGTGAGAGATCGACGGTGAGTGTGTGGTAGGAACGTGGCGTCCCTTGCTCTGCTTGCAGGTGGCACAAGCAGAGCACACAAGCAACGGGTGTGCGCCGCTTGCTCTGCTCTGCTTGCTAACGCTCTTCTCTCCCTCGCACACTCGTCCCTGCTCCGGCACCTTCCACCAGTCGACTTGCATCCCCTCACCGCATGTCACCGCACCTCACCTCACCGCACCTCACCTCACCACACTTCACCTCACCTCACCTCACCTCACCTCACCGCACCTCACCTCACCGCACCTCACCTCACCACACCTCACCTCACCTCACCTCACCTCACCTCACCTCACCTCACCTCACCGCACCTCACCTCACCTCACCTCACCTCACCTCACCTCACCTCACCGCACCTCACCTCACCTCACCTCACCTCACCGCACCTCACCTCACCTCACCTCACCTCACCTCACCACACCTCACCTCACCGCACCTCACCTCACCTCACCGCACCTCACCTCACCTCACCTCACCTCACCGCACCTCAACTCACCGCACCTCACCTCACCTCACCTCACCACACCTCACCTCACCTCACCGCACCTCACCTCACCTCACCGCACCTCATCTCACCTCCGTGTGAAGACCCGTGTGGGGCAGGGCAGCATGGGTCACCAGCGATGGTTGCTGGCGGTGCCATGGGTGGGGGGAAGGCGAGAGCGGCGTGGGGGGGTGGGCGTTGAAGGGAGACAGATACGAGGATTGGGGTGGAGGATATAGGAGGGTGCAGCGAAGGGGAAGGGGTGAAGGGTATGTCATGTGGGACGTGGGAGGGTGGGGGGAGGGAAACAGCAGTAGGGGTACAAAAGGCGACAGGCACGTTGATACAGCACACACAACCCCTCTCTTCGCCCTTCCCCTCCAAATCGCCCGCTCCCCTCACCTCGCCCTCTGTCTGCGCGCCCCCGTGCGCGTGCAGCCACGGCGGCATCACGCTCGTGAACGCCAGCAGCGGCGTCAGCGCCAACACCGCCACCACCGCCACTACCGCCACCCGCCGCGCCGCGCCCCTCCCCCCGCCTCCCCCGCTCCCCGGACCCCCGCTTCCCCTGCTGCTGGGCTGATCCGCGCCCGCGCTGCTTCCCCCCGCGCCCATCCTGCTTCCCGCGCGGCTGCGCAACTGAAGCGCTCCCCCGACTCCGATACCCCCTGCGCTCCCGCGATAGCCCTCCCGCCCGCGCACTACTGCCGCCGGCTCCGCCAATCCCCGATCCGCCGCGCCCCGCCTGCGAACCTCGGAGTCCCGCGTCGCCGTGCGACGAGGCGACTGCGATTGGACAGGCGACGGCGGCGACAGTAACGGCGACGCTGCGAAACCTTCGCGGCCTCTCGCCACGCGACGACCTGCGACGGACTACAACCGCGAGGATGCGCGGGGGGAAGCGGAGAGGGGAGAAGAGGGAGTTGCGGACGGGCCGGGCGGAAAATGCGGAGAGAAAAAGGGCGCGACAGGGTTGGAAAGAGAGAGCTCACGTGATCGGGCGACGGATTGGCGGAGTGGCGGCGGGGGAAGGGGGAGGTCATGGCGGGCGCGGAGTCATGGCGCGCTGGATACGACGCTGGGCGAAGAAAGGCTGGCTGGGGTGTTGGAACGCTGGGCGATACGCATGGCGAATCGGCTGTGGGGTGGGTGGCTGCGTGATAGCCTGGCTGGTTGCTGGTAGTGGGGCAGTGATGGTGGGCGCGAACGCGATACTACGTACTCGGTAAAACAATCAGAACATTCTATTGCAATCTACTTTCCTTAAGGGCGTGAAAAATCGCCGCACCTAAAAATTCGGCCACTAGCCAAATGGTCGAATCGGCGAAAGTAACCCGTTTGCGAAAACTACAAAGACCCTTGCGACCGTCGTTGACTTCGCCAATAAAAAACGAAATTGATGGCCGTTTTGAAAGTCGACTGGTATCCGATGTTGGGCTGAAACGCCCTAGGATCTTTGTAGAGTTAAAGTTTGAGTAGATGTTGTAATAGCGGAAGCGTTGAATTGAAGTCCTTGAACCACCTTGCGCTGGTATGTGAGGGAAAAGTAAGTTGATTAAAGCAAAGAGATACAAGAATATAAATAGATGAGTACAGAGAATATGAAGAGACATTACCGTCACCCCCCGGATATACCCCCATGGGGGGCTATAATATAACATGTTTTTTTGAGGGGGTGGGCTTATAATATAGTAAATTTATAAGCGCCGGCGTTTATAATTTGTCAAAATTGAATTTTGTTTTTAAATATACCAAATCGAAGCATTCTCAAAGGCGGATTCACCTGGGTCGAGAACGTTCGAAACTGTGCATGCATTGCGCGTGAAACGGCCAACAAGGCGTGGCTTCACGCCTTCCACGCCTTGTTGGCCAGGCCAGGTTCATCGAACGTGAACCTGGCCCATGCCAGTGCACACGTACCTCGCATCACAGCGGCCCAATCAGGGTTGCATGCGATCGTGGGCACGTCGTGGTTCAGCCACGGTGTGCCCATCAACAGCAAAATTCCCCGCCACCGAGGCAAGGAGCTGCCCAGCTCAGCTCCTCTGCGGGGAATCTTGACTGGGGCCACCCTTTTCCCGCAGAGGAGGCCGGGCCGCGAAAATGAAGGGGTCTCGGGCGAGGGCTTCATACAACCCTCATTCTCGACTTTTGCCTTCAGTTTCTTTGTTCGTTTGGCCTGCCGTGGCCATGGCGGGCCTTCCACGCACGCATTTCTTGTTCCGCCGCCATCCTGCTGCCAGAGAAAACACCCGCCGAGACACCTGTGACTACTCTCAATGGCAGTCGCGCCCTGCGCCCGTCCCTCCGTGTCAACCAGTAGCTCCTCCCGTTCCTCCCACTCCTCCAACTCCTCCTGCACCTCCCGCTCCCCCGGCGCCTCCGGTTCCTCCAGCTCCTCCGTCCCCTCCTGACCCGCCTGTGTTTGGTGCTCCACGTCAGGGGGTCCTGCAGCTTCTCCTCCCTCCTGGCTACTCGGCGTTTGACGCGTACCTGTCCGAGCCCGACCGCGCCGGTGGCGCATCGTCTTCCTCCGCACCGTCGCCACGCTGGGGAGCCCCGGCTGATTGCCCGTTGGACGAATCCGCGGCTGGTGCGGAGGATGACGTGGAGTTTTGGGCTGCCGACGGTCTTCCAGAGCACCTGCCTATTCCCACCTTCCCCCCCCCCAATAAGAAACGACCCCACCCTTCTCGCGAGAATCGCGATGCCCGTCCTCCCTCCCCCAGGCACAAGCCTTCAAGTCACAAGCGGCACTCTTACACATCGCAGGAGAAACTGCAGTGGATTCTCAAGCTTGAGTCCGGGCACATGAGCGTGCGGCAGATGTCTCGCCAAACCGGCATCTCCCGAAGGTCACTCGCAGAATGGAAGACCCGGAAGGCTGACCTGGAGGGCGCGCATGCTGCTCGCAAGCGTCTTCATGGGCGCGGAAGGAGCTCGTGGTATCGCGACATGGAAGCTGAAGTCTACAGGAGGTTTCTTGCCCACCGTAAAAAATGTCTCGCGGTCTCGATCGCTCGCCTACAGAAGTGGTCGCATGAGGTGATGAAAGAATTGCACCCACAGGTAAAGTGGTCCGGCTCGCAGCGGTGGACTGAGCGGTTTCGCCGCCGTTGGAATCTGACAACCCGAGCGAAGACCAGGGTCGGCCAGAAGCTTGCTGCCAGTGAGTTTGTGGGAAATGGTTGCAGTTTAATGTGTACTGCTTTGTGTTGTTTGTCTCTTTATGTTTCACGGTTGAATTTTAACGCGTCATTAATACTGTCTTCTCTCTTTCCCTCCCACCCGTACTCCCAGACTGCGAGACTGACGTCAGGAATTTCTGGAAGTTCGTGCGTCACACCCGCCGCCAATACAAGATTGACCCGCAGTGGATAATAAACGCGGACCAGACACCACTGTGGCTCGAGATGCCTGCCGAACGCACAGTCGAGGAGGTGGGTCTGCGCTCTGTGCCTATCCGCAGCGGCGGCTATCAGAAGGAGCGAGTTACGGTGATGCTCGCCTGCACTGCCAGCGGTGAGAAGCTGAAGCCGTGGGTCTTCTTCAAACGGAAGACCCTGCCTAAAGGGGATTTCCCTTCAGGTGAGCATTAACACCCACTGCTGCATGTTTTTTTTTTTCAATGTCTACTGATGTTGTATGTGCGTTTGTGGCTGTGCAGATGTTACGGTGTCCGTCCATCCCAACGGTTGGATGGACGCGGACGGAGTCATTGAGTGGCTCGACGGGGCAGTGAAGCCGTTCGTCCACACCAAGTTTGGAGTGAGGCCCCGCAAAGCGATGCTCGTCTTGGATTCGTACCGCGGGCACCTGACTGCGGAGGTGAAGAAGAAGTTCGGGGAGCTGAACATCGTCCCTGCCGTTATCCCAGCTGGCTGCACCTCGGAGATTCAACCTCTGGACGTCGCGGTGAATCGCTCCTTCAAGGCATCCGTTCGACAGCTCTACCAGGAGTGGTTCGAGAGCGAGGGGGTCGACACCTTGACAAAGAAAGGTGAGAGAGGCAGGCCATGCCTGTGCTGCTTTATCAGTTTGTAGCGGTGGCTGACTTTTGATTGTTTAAATTTTATGGCAGGCAACATCAAGAAGCCACCACCCGAGCTAACGCTCAAGTGGATATCACCGGCTTGGAAGGCCGTGCCCAGGGACTTGATTCAACGGGCTTTCCTCACCTGTGGCATTAGTAACGCCCTGGATGGGTCCCAGGACAAGATCTGCCTGCAACACAGGCGCGACCAGCTTGAGGGCGACGAAATAGACATCGACGACGACATTGCAGCAGATGGCTTTTTCTGCAACAACGTAGAAG